CCCCCCCCCAGCTGGGAGTTTGAACGTTTGGCGTTCGAGGGAAACAGGTCGACTGAGATCAATAGGTCACTTCCTGTAGAGAGACGGAGGACGCACGTTAGATTTGATCACAGCTACTGATTTTAAAAAGGCATCGTGTTGTTCGACGTGTAAAATGAAGTGTTTTTGGGTTTTTTTGCATGTGCGTGTTTCCAGGCAGCAGAATTGTCCATCAAGTTCCTGAGTGGAGATCGAGCAGTGGAGGTGATCCAGGTGGTCGGACCTCGACTCGCACACCTGGGGAAATACAACGCTGTGAGTGGAAACACACACACACACAAGATTTGAGTCATTTCCTGTTTTCTCACCTGCTGACTTTGTGTGTGTTTTTTTATGTTCCAGGCTGCCGAGCTTTATTTAAACATGGACATGATCAAAGAGGCAATCGATGTCTTTATCGAGGGCGAAGAGTGGAACAAAGCCAAGAGAGTCGCCAAGGAGCTGAAGCCCAGGTTGAAAACACACACACACACACACACACACACACACACACACACACAGATACACACTGTATGTTTAAACAACACATTTCATTTCACTAGATCTGGATTCTGGATCTGCACCAAATGACACATAAAGTTTTTCCACAGTAATTGAATCTGTGATCCTCTGATTCTGTGCAGGTATGAAGAATACGTGGACCAGAAGTACAAAGATCATCTAAAGAATCACGGCAAAGTGGATTCTGTGAGTACAAGTCACTGTTGGTAAATCGATGAATCTAAATCCTTATTTTGTGAAAACACATTTTAATGGTTAAACCCATCTCGTCCTGTTAAACTGTGCAGCTGGTGCGTGTGGACGTCATGGCGGCTCTGGACCTGTACGCAAAAAGAGGCCAGTGGGAGAAATGTCTGAGCACGGCATCCCAGCAGGTTCCGACCGCTCGTTACCGTCAGTTTTATTAAAACTGTTCATTTTCTGGTCAAATGTAAATGTCAACATACTTTGTCTCTGTGTCGTGTTCAGAGCATTAAGATCCTCCACAAGTACGTCGCTCTGTACGCCACGGACCTCATCAAGGAGGGGAACGCTCTGAAGGCTCTGCAGCTCTACCTGCAGCACGGGGCGTCGCCCAACCCTCAGGTACACACACGTTTGTATTTCTTTTACAACCCACCCACAGTGTGTGTGTGGGGGGGGGGGGGGTTCACTGCTCAATGCATTTCCACGTTTTTACCCTCAGAACTTTAACATCTACAAGCGTCTGTTCCTGGACCTGATCAACCTCCCTGACACCGACGGACCCGAGTCGTACCACATGTGGGCCGACCTCCGCAACTTCCTCCTGCAGCTGGTACGTCACAACAATCTGGGACAATCCTTTTTTTAATGTTTAGACACGAAGGAGCATGAAATGTAGAAGTGAGTAAGGACAAACCCGTTGTTTGATTTCAGAGCGAGAACATTTCCAAGTCGAGCAAGGCCAACTCTCCAGCTCACGAGGACTTCAATCAGATGCTGCTGATCGCTCACTACTACGCTGCACGATCCGCCGCCAAAGGAGTCGAGCAGCTGGTACACACAAAAACACGAAAACACAGAAACACGAAAACACGAAAACACAGAAACACCTGTTTACCTGCATCTTAGTATTTTAGTTTGATTTTAGCCAGAACTCACATCTGATCCTAATGGTTGATCCAAACACAGGTTGTGTTTCCCGTCCTGAGTTGGTTTGTTGGTTTATATTTTTATAACAGGACACCCGGACGTGTTTCTTTGTGTTCTCGTGAAGTTTGAATCCTTGTTTCTGCCGTGTGTTCTCAGACCAGCGTGGCAGCCAAGCTGTCGACGTCTCTGCTGCGTCACACTGAGCTCATTCCTGCAGACAAAGCGTTCTACGAGGCCGGTCTGTTCTGCAGGGTGAGTCCACCTCAACATACGAACAACATACGAACTCTCATTTCATGTTCTGCACAACATCAACTGGAGGTTTCTCCGTTTATCACAAGACGAGAATCAAACATTAGCATCATTTGAAGTAACGTGTTGTTGTGCGTGCAGGCTGCCGGCTGGGAGACGATGGCTTTCATCTTCCTGAACCATTTTGTGGATCTGTGTGATGTGAGTGTCACAGTTTGTCACTTTAGACGTCATTTAATGGATATGAATCAGATCTGCACAGTATTTAAAAGCTACAGAACCTCAGAGGATTTGTAATCTGGACTCTGTGTTCCCTCTGTGATTGGTGGATTCCTGTCTCCAGGCTGTTGAAGAGGGGACGGTGGACGATCTCAACTACTCGGACTTCCACGGCACAGACATCCCAGTGGAAGTTCCCGTTCCCACCAAACTCTGCATCAACGTACGCCATTGTCTCCGTCCACCACACACACATCTGAAGAGACTGTGGTCAGATGATGTTGAGTCTCACAAACAGAAAAACTTCTCACTGCCAACGAAGTGTTTCATGTATTTTGTTTTTTCTGCAGGACGCTCAGCGGGAGGACATCCGTAACTGGCTGCTGTCGGTCTACAAGGATCATCTGAAGCAGGATCTGCCACGAGACGAGAGGAACTCATACGTGGCGTCACTGGTGGACGCAAACACCGGCCAGCGCTCGCTGCCCTGTGTCCTCACAGGTAACACACACACACGAGAGCAATCTAGATTCGGAGGACGAGACGTTTAAAGAGCTTGACGCTTGTTTGTACTGTATGTAAATGCTTGGGACTCGAACGTGTTCCCGCTCTGAACATCTCGTACATCTGCTGCTCGCTGTGTGCTCCTCCTGCCTCCAGGCTACCCGGTGCTGAGGGATGAGATCAAGTTCCCGTCTGTGGGCAAAACGGCGAACAAGGAAGACTGGGACAGATTCGACATGGCCACAAAGGTGAGACCCGACGATGCACCATGTTCATAAGTCACATAAACAATAACTGTCAGAGGAACTGAGAAGAACCGACAGAGCTGGAGAAGATGTTTTATTTAGTTCAAGTTACGATGAAAAGAGAAAACTCTGAAATCACATCTGGACTGTTTTTACTTGAGAAGATGTTTTCCAGGATTATTCAGTCGGACTCAGTCGTTGATGATTTTTCCTTTAATCGACTTGTTCTTCCTGCTCTGTGTTTAATCTGCGTTCTGATTGGTCGCTGTTCGAATGGTTCCTCCCCTGCAGACCACTCACAGTCCGGAGTGTCAGGACGTCATCGACTTCATCGGCCAGTGGTGCGACGGACTGCCGTCCTTCCGTTGACTCAGTAAAGACCTCTGATGCTTCAGCTGCTTTTCTCTCTTCCACCTTTTCTGTGAGTTTTGAACACCCCCCCCCCCACCCCCCCTTCTTCTTTTCTATGTTTATTTATTGACTTTATGTAAAATCACGACTAAAAAGGAGGCGACTGTTTAATTGTGTGTGTGTGTGTGTGTGTGTGTGTGTGTGCTTAAGAATTTATTCTGTTTGATATTTAAATGTATTTTGTTAAATAAAGTTTAAAGCGAAACAGAGAATTCAAACTTTGAGCCTTCATCACGTGAAGCTGTGATGTTTGTTCATGTAGTGATTTCTATAAAAGCTTGTGATCAGGTTTAGATCCTGAGTTCACTTCAAATCAACTCTTGAAGTTTCAGATTTCGCCTTTGGCCTTTTTATCAATTTCTCCCAATAAGCTGAATATTTTCCCGAATGTTAAACATGTGAATAAATTAAGAAAATGAATTTGTTCGAGAAGACGAAGGACGACAGGAAGCAGCACGTGAAATGATTTGACTTGTTTATTTATCAAGACACAATATGACGTCATCGAGAACAAGAACATGACACATATATATTATAAAGATCTTCAATTCACAACTTACCTCCAGTCATCATTTTAAAAAAGTGTAAATTATGATTTTGAATATAGCTGAAAAAACTAAAATGTTAATATAATGAAATGAGTGAATGTTGTTTTTTTATGTCCCTCTAATATATTTATATACATCATTATACTCCGATTATAAATTAAAATTATACATACACTTTAGAAAAGTGATGCTTAATACAACAACCTTTCCCACTGGCTGAAGGAAAATTCAGATTTAACAATAAAATCTAATTAATTAAATTAAAAATTAGCTCCTGACAGAATTTCACGTCATTTTTACAGGAAATGTTTGTTGTCATTTCACATTAAAAGTCTAAAAATAAGCCTAAAACACAATAAAAACAATTGTGGCAGCAGTTTGATCAAATAAAGTTCTGGGAGTTCAAACACAACCTGAAAAAAATACAAACTGCAGAATTAAAAACTTTACGCAGTACAGTTGACAGTATTCAGTGATACACAGTTTAAACCGCCTCCTTTCCCAGCAGCTGCACGTCCGCAATCAATAATAAAGCCTGTGTGTGTTTGAGAAAATACATTAGTAAGAGGTTTCCTGAAGGTGAACACCTCCACTGCAGAACAGACAGGTTTTATATTTATATAAAATTCATTTATAACACAAGCTGTCGAGGCCTGCTCAGTTAAACCACCATCGTCATCGTCGGGTCCACAAACGTCTGTTTTACGAGTTCAAAAGTTTTTTTTTTTTTTTTAAATCTTTCTTTATTCTCTGTCGGAGCGTCTTTCATCTCCGTCCGTCACAGTTGGTTAAATCCTCATCCTGTGTCACCGGAGCGAAGCAGGACCGTTCACAGAAAACTCAGTTTTATATGCACTGAACTTTACCTTTATCTGGAACGTGTTATTCTACAGTTTGATTATCATCCTTTAATTTCACCCACACACACACACTCTCTTTTTTTATTCACTTTATTTGATCTCCTCCATGTTAGCAGACGGGCCAAACTACAAAGTAAGAGTACACGTTAAATACATTTCGTTTCTGCCACACTGACGTTTGTTCGAGTGTTTGTGTCCCTGATACGTTTGGTTTTCATGAGTTATTTGATGCTTTGAAAACATCAGGGCCGATCGGTCGGTCTCTCGGGGAAACACGAACTCAGCTTTACGGACGTCAGATCTTTTCTGGAACGATGTTTTAAATCTGTCCTTCACAACAACTGGACCAGAGGAGTTCACTCGGTCGGACGAACCAAGTGAAGCTACCACGTCTGACGCCGATTGGCCGAGACACCTGCCAATCAAGCTAAATCACCTCTTTAACCCAGTAACATCTAGTGGCCACTGATGGTACTGCAACGTCTGGTTTCTCATCGGCTTCAACTTTATAACGGCTCAGAAATCCGTCACGTTTATCCAGAGCGGCCGTGTTGACGATTCAGAAAAACACGTATGTTCTCGGTGTCTTTCGTCCGACAGGCGTGTTTCTATAGTTTTGTGATTTCTTCACCTGAACGCTCTCTGTTGATATTCGGTCGTTCTCTTGGCATTCACCGCGTGCCTTAATTGTTTGGACATTTAAATCAAGGTCCGCTGTGAACACGAGGAGAGACGACCCACTCGTTCCTCACGTTTGTTCTCCGTCATCATTTTCCACTTTTTCTTTCCCCCCCTCCACCCTTCTGTCCGACTTCGTCCCATTAGAGCTTCTCGACCTTCGCATGAATCTGGAAAATCGAGTCGCTGGAACCTTTCAAACACATTTCATCGATTCTGCACAGAGACATAAAGAACAAGTGTCACTGTGTTGAGCCTGGAAATGTCTCCTGCAGACGGAGCAGGTGGAGTCAGACATAAATATCTAGATTACTGATGACGACGGTATATTTGGTGATTACAGCATTTCCTTTTAGTGTGTGTGTGTGTGTGTGTGTGTGTGATATCCTGCTGACCTCCATACAAAAGGCTGCATGCTGTGTACGTTAACCTGGTTATTTAAGTTATCAACCATATTGACTCTATATTTCATTATATACACTGAGTAAAAGTAGAACAACACCAGCTGCACTTTGTTCGTGTTTTACCCAGAAATCTTTGAACCATTAACACGACTCCCGGCTTCTCGCTCAGGTATGAAAACACACGTACAGAGATTTGAAGCTGCACGTTCCAGCCTTTGTTTTGTCTTTTTTGACGCCTGAAAAACAAAATATCGTCAACGTGAGATTTCCTTTCACAGTTGAGAGAGGATTTGATTTGTGAGCGCTTCAATGTGCAATATAATATTTATCTTAAATTGCTGCATTCACATGTTCCCAAGTCTGGAGTTCGAGTTAAACATCCAACAATCCATCATTTTGTGTGTTCGAAATATTTTCACGCTTTCCTCCAAACCAGAGACGGCTCCCTGGGAGAAAAGCTCGTTTAAAAAAAAAAAAAAGACCTGAAATATGAACGTTAACACACACTGGCCTGTTTTAATCGTGCAGATACACGGAGGAGTCCCGGTGTGTTCCTTGAAGCGGCACTGCGGAACCGTTAAAGCTTCATCCTCCATTATTCAGCAGCAGCAGGAAGATGATGCACGTTTTCTTATCCTGCATTAATGAGCCACAGCTGCAGGAGGAAGATGCTGCTGCTCCATGATTTTACTCCTCAGCCCACATGAGTACACAATCCTGTCAACCCCCCCCCACCCCCCCACCCCCCACCCCCACCCACCCAAAGAAACCATGACATGTACTGCAGGCTATTTTACCTCCCTGTTCTCGTTTGTGCAGATGGAGCAGCGGCAGCATCTGCGCTGCTCAACGGCTCTCCGGCAGAGGAGAAGGACCCATCTGCAGCCTCATTAACCGCAGAAATGCTAATGACCCAGATAGCTCATGTCGGCTAAAACGCGGAGGGGAGGGGCGGCTGCCTTTGTGGGGGTCGGGCATGCATGCATGTGTGTGTGTGTGTGTGTGTGTGTGCATGAGAGTGTGTACTTGCACTTATATCTTTGTGAGGACCCTTTTGACAAACGCTGCAGTGAGGACATTTTGGGTAAGTGAGGACATATTCGCTGGTCCTCACTTTTACTAAAGGTCCGTCTGAGGGTGGACACTTGATTTCAGGGTTAGATTAAGGTTGAGTTACGCTTCAGTTAGGGTTCGGTTTTTCTGCTGGTTTAGGTTTGGGTTCGGTTTTTAGCTGCGCTGGTTTAGATTCGGTTACGGGGTCGCCAATGAGCGTCCTCCTTGAAATCGAGGTACAAGAATGTGTGTGTGCATTCAACTAAAACAATCTACAGCCTAACACCAACACAAATGACTCAAATGCAACCGGATGAATAGATCTGCAGACCCACACATAACACAATATAATGAATAAATGTGATGTTTTCAATTAAAACACTACAATGCATCATGCAGGGACATTGTAGTGAATGATTGTAGATGGTATTAATGTGTTTGTAATGGGATTTGGGCGTGTGTGTGTGTGTGTGTGTGTGTGTGTGTGTGTGTGTGTGT